TAAAAGGGAGCAAATCATATTATAAACAGTATGCTACATACGCCAGGTCCACTGAAAACACATGCTGTGCAGATGCCTCTTTCCTGCAGCGACTGCGTCAAGCAGCAAGGATGGGACCGGCCTCCGGCACCCATAAGGACTTGAAGGCAGTATATGTACTGGCTAGGATTGTAAGCTCTGGAGCCAGACTACTTGGGCTCAAATCCCAGCTCTGCCCTAGCTGGTTTGGCTCGGTGGAGAGAGTGTCAGCCTGCGGACTGAAAGGTCCTGGGTTCGATTCTGGTCAAGGGCACATGCCCAGGTTGCTGGCTAGGTCCCCAGTAGGGGGCGTGCAGGAGGCAGCCAATCAATGATTCTCTATCATCATTGATGTTTCTATCTCTCTTCTTCTCCCTTCCTCTTTGAAATCAATAAAAAAATGTTTTTTAAAACATTCCAGCTCTGAGCTGTACTAGCTATGTGAACTTGGGCTAGTCACTTAACCCCTCTGAGCCTCAATGTCCTCATCTGTCAAATGGGAGTAATAATAGTACCTGCTTCACAGAGTTCTTAAGAGGAAAAAATTAACTAATATGTATAAAGTGTTAGGATAACTCCGGACACAAGGACATTCTCGATTATGTTAGCTCTTGTTAAGGAGCTCACAAGTGTAGTGGAGCAATCAGACTCATGCCCACATAATTCTGTTTAGGGCGACAGTCTTTCTCCATCTTGCTAGTTCCTTCCCTGCTCCTCAGGGACTCCTGGACCAGCTTCCGCATTTTAAAGACTGGGAGGCCCAGAGAGAGAGAAGTATCTTGCTCATGGTCATGTGTGCCGGGTCATTGGCAACGATGGGACCCGAGGAGTTTCAGATCCCACTTTCAGCATCCCCTGCCACCTCTCCCCACTTCCTTAGACCTTGGGGCATGGTTGTCTGTGAGCAGGGGTGAGTTCTGGCCACCTATAGGGTCCCCGGAGCCCAGAGCAGAGAGGTGCTCAGAAAGTGACAGAGGCAGGGCTTGCAAACACCTGTCCCTGGTGAGTCACCCACCAAACGCCAAACAGCCAGGGAGGTGCCTGCTAACAGGAGCCCCAGCTAGTGCTCTGTTGCTGCCAGGGACTCAGAGAGAAGACAGCCTGCAGCCAGGAGAATGGTACAGCAAATGTGTTCAAGGAGGAATGGAATGAGAGAGAGAGAGAGAGAGAGAGAGA